AAACAACCTACTGTTTAATAATGAGCTATTATCCTAAGGCGTCTCTAAATTCTAATTAATAAAACATCTGGTGAATTTACTCTGGAGAACAGAGAAGCAATCTGCTAAAGAAAAATGCACACCCTCAGAGCTCCCTATTTTAACCAATTCCATTATAGACAAAAATCTGTGTGTAAATAATGGAAAGCCAGAGAGAAGGTTCCAAAAATTCTGCTGGTAAATGGCACCATTCCATCAATTTAACCACGGAGACAGGAAAGCTCTGGATTCTGGGAAACTCTGAGAAATGCTGCCTTGGATGGGAGCTGGCAAAGGGGGCTAAAGAGCTAAGGGGATGTTCATTTCTCACTTTGCCACTGTGAAATCTAAAATCAGGAATGTGCTGTACACTTTTACTCTGTGGCAGTTCATGGAAATAAAATTCAGATCAAGAACATGTGCACAAATGATCTGTTTAAAAATGATCAAAGACAGCTATGGTCTAGTTATTACCCACACTGCTAGCATGTTGTATACTCAATAAACTGTAATTTAGAAATACGTGTAAAACATTGTATTTGTCTTCTAGACTATTCAGAATGAAAGATAATAAAATAACTTTCTAATTTGTTACTAAAAATGTCATTCACTGTAATTTAAAATCAAAAAACATGAGTCTTCCTTCAAATACAAATAATTATGTACTGAAACTGTTAACCTACCTATGCTGAAAGAGGAGACATTACTGGGAGTAATTGTAAAGTCCTACCTTTTCTTTGCAGCTGGAAAGCATGCTAATAATGCTAAGACAGACTGACTGGACTGAGAGCGCTGGGGACCAGTCTTCTGTTAGAATGGATAAACAGATATGACCATTGCTATACACATGAGGATGGACGGGAATATTTTCACCAGTAAACATGACCTAAGAAGAAATAAAATTCCATTAACGCTCAATATTCTCTACTATTAAAAACTAAAATGTTCTCCACATTTAACAAGTACTGATTTTTAAGACATAAAATAAAAACAAAAGACTTCAGTAGCAAATACTCACTCATCAAAACAATTTAGTAACAACCTCTCTGTATAAATGGCCATGCAGTAGTAGGAAACCCTAGACTGTTTTCCTAAATTAGCTGAAATTTTCTAAATTTGTATTTTTAGACTAATGAATGGTAAACTACTTTTGTTTTTTTCAAATTCTACTCATTACTCACTGAATATTCATTATCATTCCTTTAATCCCAGCACTTGGGAGGCAGAGGCAGGTGGATCTCAGTGAATGTGAGGCCAATTTATACTTCAAAGTTACTGAAAGCATATTTCAAAAAAAACAAAAAAACAAAACAAAACAAAAAAAACAAAATACAAAAAAACAAAAAAACCAAGTGCACTGAAGTTCCGAAAGTATTTAATTTTGAAACTATAACAAAAATGAAACAAAAGCAAAAGCCTGTTTAGATGAAAAAGAACAAATCAAACTGAGTCTTAGGTTGCTGCTGTCTCTCCACTTGCCTTTTATTCACTCAAGTTGTTTTTCTACCTTACCTCGGTACAACTGTAAATTCTTTCCTCTAACACTTCAAGTAAACCACCCAAGCATCCAACAGGGAAAGGAATACAGCCACATATCTTGAAATACCAGTATGCATATTCCAACACAATTCAAAGGCAACAGATTTAAGAACAACTATGTATGTGTTCCTCTTTATTTTGCAATGCTGGGCAAAGAATTCGGGGCCTTGTAAGTGATACACAAGTGCTCTACTCCAAGCTACAACTCTAAGAGAAATTACTTGCTTTTACATGAAATTCAAATTAAATTAACTCACCAATCTTCAAGTGAATTTTACAAGGTACCACATTAATTCTGTAGTTTAGCAGCCATTCCTAATTAGTGGTCTCACTAGTATCACCTGAATGAAGATCTAGTTAAGATTCACAATGAGGCTGGGTATGGCAGGGCACCACTGCAGAAGCATCTTCTGGATTTTACTTGAGCCTAGAGGTCCAGGGCCAGCCTTGGATAAACAGTAAAACCCTCTCTCAAACAAACAACAAGAACAACCATCAAAATAAACTCAAAGATGCCAATCCATGACTCCCCACATACATCCAACAGTTCTCAGCCCAGACTTACAGCATCTCTCAAGCCTTGCAAAATACCAAGAAGGAAAAACCAGACTTTAAATTATGACAGAAACTGATGTACACTGGGGGTGGGTGGTGAGTGGGAGGGGGGTCCTTAAATGAAGACGACAAGTCAATGAAATCAGTTTCACTAGATGGCTAGAATGAGGTATGCCCACATTTAATGCAGAATAGGTATTGTGAAATTAAAATCAGCTAAGGTTTTTGTAGGGATTTTAAATATCTAGCCACAAATCTGACTTTATTAAGATTTTCACAAATATTGCTATTAATAAACCAATTGATCCAAACAAGCAGGGCTCAGTCTGTTACCTGAGATTAACATAACAAGTACTTGCAAAGTTAAAGACCAGGCCACCCACTTCTACTCTACGCACAGAAGAGAAATGGAAGCATAATGAGGGAAATCAAGTACTTGTCCTACATAGGCTGTTCTAAGAAATGACATTAATTCAGCTCATGTCACTGCTCTTGCCCTACAAACATCCTGCTTTGGGCAGTCTTGAATTTTACACTTTCTGAGTCTATTCACAACTGATTTTTAGTGGAATTTTACAAGTATGAACCATAGCCTATTTCAACGTATTTGTAGACTACAACAGGAATTTACAGAAGCCATTTGATCAGCACAGTGTTTTCACTGAGAACACAGGCAGTACCTTGAGAATTTACTCCCTGGTCACAATTATTTTTAAAATATATTTCCCCACCAAATAAGGTCTTTTAATTAAGAAGTTTATGAGAATAGTAACCATGCCAAAAAAAAAAAAAAAAAAACCTGCCAAGTTTTTAACATGACTATTACAAACACACAGGCAGCCAGATACAAAGGTCATCATGACATGCTGACTGAGAAAGAGGAAAGCAGTATTTTCCTTAGAGAGAAATTGTTACCAATGTTCGTGAGCCAGGAATTGTGCATGGACCAAAAGAAAATACAGACATAGGACAAAGTGGTGAGTGGCAAGGGATGGCACCTAAGGCAAAAGCAGCAGACAGACTACAAGCAGAGCAGAGGGCAAAATTAAACAGCTCTAACATCAGAAACCAAAACAAAAATCAAATAAAGTCCCCTGCTGGATGCAGTAGCTCACATCTGTAAATCTGGTACTCAGAAGGCTGGGTTGAGAAGGTGGGTTGAGAGCCAGCTAGCACTGCTAAGTGGGCAGCAGGCCAACCTGTGCTATGTTGTGAGACTCTTAAGAGACCAACCCCAAACAAAATCAATCAATCTCAATTAGGCATTTAATATATTCCAGGCAAAACAAATACAGTCAGTGGGAACCTGAAGCAAGCAGACACAGGATAACTACTTGCACATATTAAGCAGCCCTTAGGGCCTGGGCACTTTAGAAGCTTGTCTAAGCAGAGAAAAGATGCTTGACATGCCAGAGATGAATTCCTGAAATAAAACAAATCATTTTTTCAACAGTTTTATTGATGTTAAGGTATTACCAGTCTTTTCCGTTTTCACAGAAAGTTTCAGTATAATCTCTGTCACCCTGGTTCTCCGCCCACTAGGGGAAGAGTAACCAAGGCTAACTTTAAGCACATACTGTTTCCCATCTTGTTTAATACCCCATAGGTATTTCTGTTGTTTTAATTCAGGTGAGCAGGTACTGAAAACTAAAAATCTTATTTCTGGAAAACAGCAGTCCCAGGTAGCTTATAAAACTATCTAGGACTGATATAACCAGACCACTGGAAACAAGTGATTTCAAACTACAATTCAATTTACTTGGCCTCAGGCCAAAATTAGTTATACAATCACACTGTTAAAAGTTAACAGAAAACTATGTTCGTTGCTGCAGTAAACCCAACCAAGAAAAGTAGGATTTCAGAGGGAAGTAGGGGTATAACTCTAGGATTTAGAATCCCAAGACTGCATAAGAAGCTACAGGGGAAGAATAAAGGAGAGCAAAATAAGAGATACCATAATAGAGGGAGCCATTATAGGTTTAAAGAGAAATCTGGCACTGGGGAAATGTCCAGAGATCTACAAGGTTGAACCCAACTAAAAATCTAAGCAATAGTCGTCAAGAGGCTACCTTAAATGCCCTTCTCTGATGAGATTGATGACTACCTTATATGCCATCCTAGAGCTGATGGAAGTAGAAGCAGACACCCACAGCTAAACACTGACCTGAACTCTGGAATCCAGTTGCAGAGAGGGAGGAGTGATGAGCAAAGGGGTCAAGACCAGGCTGGAGAAACAGCTGACCTGAACAAGAGGGAGCTCATGAACCCCAGCTTGATAGCTGGGAAACCAGCATTGGACTGTTCCAGACTTCCTGAATGAGGAGGTCAGTTTGGATATGGATCAGTATTTATCCCTACAATATGAATGGACTTTGGGAGCCCATTCCACATAGAGGGATGCTCTCTCAGCCTAGACACACAGGGGAGGGCCTAGGCCCTGCTCCA